ACCGTCACATGTGGAGGGGATTTTAACTGCGTAACGATGGCAGAGGTAGACAGAAGCGGATCAAATGGGACAGAGGATGCGGGGGCGAGGACACTACGTATGTTCTTGCAGGACAACGCGCTAGTGGACACAGGGAAAAGCAACATGCCAGAGGCAATAACGGACATCGAGGTGGACACGTACGCCCGTACACACCACACATACGCTTATACTACAGCGGACGGATTGAAGAGAGCTTCGCGCTTAGACAGATGGTACATCAGTGGACACGAATGAAAACAAGTACGTGGAGTAACCACGGATGAGGGTATATGCGACTCTGATCACAGGGGAGTCTTGCTGGAGATGCACCATCCAAACGGAGCAGTCAGGGTCAAAAAGAGGGAGACAGTATATCCCCCACCGATGTACGTGCAGGCGGCGACAAAAGACATGATAGAGAAGAGACTAACGAACTGGGGGCCGGACTAGACGACATCAGCCCAAGTACATGGGCTTTGGAATGGGATCGCTTCAAAGAACGAGTAAAGAAGGAGATGGCGCAACTTAAGCAACACGCACGAAGAAGGACGACCAAAGGATGCAGACAAAGAATAAGCAGGCTGAAGCGGAAGCTGGCAGCAGGAAGGAACGGAACCGGAGAAGACAGAAAGCAGCGAGAAGAGTGGATAGCAGAGCTGGAACAGGTACAATCTCAACGCAGAGCCCTCAAACGGCGAGGCCTCATCAACAAAGGAGCATGGACGTCGAAAACGTCAACCAAATACTTCTTCAACAGGATCTGCACCAAGTACGGAGACAATATCATCCCGGCGCTCAAGGCCGCCGACGGAGCACCCAAGCGGGGCACACATGACAAGGCTGAAACATTGGCAGACTGCTGGGAGAGCATCTTCAACGGGAAGGCAGAAGACGAGGGGGGTGCTCAAGAATTCATACACAAATGCAGACAAACCTGGGAGAAGGTGGACTTGGAAGATATCGACAGGAAAATAACGGAGGAGGAAGTAGCAGCAGCGATCAAGAAATGCAAGATCGGAAAAGCGTGCGGACCGGAAAGCATAGGCAACAAATGGTACCGAGACTTCGCGGATACTCTGGTGCCAATACTAGCGAAGTTGTTCAACGTCTTTCTGGACGAAGGAAACACACCAACGTCCTTCAGCGAGGCGTACATCTTCAGTATTTCAAAGGGGGGAGACACAAGCAACGGACTAAACTACCGGCCAATCGCGTTACTGAATACCGACTACAAGACTCTCACCAGGATACTGGCGTGGAGAGTACGGAGACATGTAAAGAGGTTGTTACATCAAACACAGTACGGGTTCATTCCAGGGAGGACAATACACGACGCAATCGACCTTTTGGAGGCGGCGAAAGCAGCAGCGACGGGCAAAAAGGAGCTCACCTACGCACAAGTGCTGCTTCTAGACTTTGCGAAAGCATACGACTCACTCGACAGGGAATACATGCACAAAGTGCTGGAGGCGAAGGGGTTCCCCCCAAAATTCAGAGCGCTAGTGCGAGATACACACGAGCGCACGGAGGTAAAATTTATGGCCAATGGAACTTTATCAAGGGCAATACCGGTCACGAGTGGTATAAAGCAAGGTTGCCCGCTGGCTCCGTTGCTATTCATGCTGGCGGTGGATCTATTGTATGACGCAGTGCAGTGTGAGGACGGAATCAGAGGAGTAAGACTAGGGGACCAAGAGGAGGGAGAACAGATACAAATAGCTGGCTACGCAGATGACACGGCGATTTACATCGAGAACGCAGCAATGCAGGACACGGCGCTAAAGACAGCCAAACGATTCTCGGAAGTGTCGGTGCTACTGCTAAACGCCGGGAAATCGCTATCCATACGACTGGGGACGCAGGCACGAAAGAGCTAAAACAAAGAGGGAAGGGGGCCCAACCACTTCAAGAAGCCACCGAAACAAGATACCTGGGGCACATCACAGGATCCACGGACAGGACGAAAAGTGCATGGGCCAAGGCGTTTGCAACACTAACAATTACACTAGCGCTTGCAGTCGAAAAGACGAAAACAGTGCAGGAGAGAGCGACAATCGCGTCGGCAATCATAGTTCCAAAATTACTGTACGTGGCAAGGCACGCTTGGCCGGACGGTGACCTGGTCAAGGAAGCGGATTGGAGAATGAGGAGCTTTGTCTGACAATCGTCATTCTCCACACCGGATCATGCCCCGAGGGGCTGGATACCGGCCGTGGTCGCGGAATTAGACCCAAGGAAGGAGGGCTGGGAGTGCCAAACATCAGAACAGAGTTGATGGCACTGGCCGCATCGACAGTGGGGACATGGGCCACCGCTACGACCAAGAGCAAGCAGAGGGCAGGCAAGTTGCTACAGCAACAGGCAGGAGTCAACATCGGACACATTATACCATATGCGAACAGCGCTGAGCCAAAGCTACACGGAGACATCTGGACCATTAGCAAGCCGATAGTCGAGACAGGATTCGCACCTGAGATGCCGCAAGGAACCAGTGAAGACAGTACGGCGGACATAAGGCGGGAGATGAGGCTGAAAAACGGCATGAAGACGACCTGGAGTAAGATGGGGTTGGTGTGTGAATTTGGAGCACAAATACTGGGGCGAATGACACAAGCGAGAAGGCGGAGAGAATAGAAATGCGGCGGACTGATACATCAAACAGGGCCAGACCTGCCGTACAAGAGGCTGGTGCCGCGGGACGCAACTGGGGCAGTACGGAAGTGGTCGACATACAAGAGGTAACAGAAGGACGAGGAGTGCAACTGGTTGGAGACCTGATGGAAGTCAAGTACGAGAGCAAAGGCAGGGTGATAGTGCAACCGCACTCCACGGAGATGCCGATGGAAAGCAGGCAAGCGCACCTCTTCAGAGAGTTAGGGCTATCAGTATTGGCTCAATTCCCGGAGCTAGTGTCCAAACCAGGAGACGCGACCAATTTAAGAGTCTCGCATGGACTAACGGACCCACACCATAGCTTCTGGGTCGAGAGCTCTGACAAGCGAACGACTGTCAGGCACGGCTGGGCGTTCACGGAGAAGGAGGTGAGCATGGGGGACGGCCCGGCGGAGGAGAGTGCTAATATAGCAGAGCTACTGAAAACGACGCCCAAGGCGGTCTGGGTAACGCCGCATCCAGACCGGACACACATGCAGCTGCTATGGGCGGGGAAGAGAAGATGGACTAGGTCGCGTCAAGCATACAAGGACGTAATAAGGAGGAAGCGACGCAGCGCCGCGGCAAAAGAGCAAGAACGCATGAGGGTCAAAAGGGGGCAATCAAACCCAGCCATCAGCAGGGCAATGGAGCAATTTTCGTGGAAGAGCGTACAGCGGATGCACGGGGTAACAGCGTACCAGAAACAAAACGTTGTGAGGATGAAAATGGGGAGATTGAGGGTTTGGAGAGGAAAGGAGATGAAGTACAAATGCGCAGGGACGAGATGCACCAACTGCACGGAGAGCGGGCAAGATCACTTGCTGTGGAATTGCCCGGACGCCAAGGCCTTTTGGAGTGTCTGGGTGAAAGCATGGGGGATGCCCGGGATAGGAAGCGAATGGGGAAGTAACTCAGCGCTGAAACGAGATATATGCTCCTTGACAATAAGCAAGCTCCCACAGTGGCTGATAGACTGGGGAGACGGGCAGCAAGTGGACAGATGGGAAGCAATACAGGAAGCAGCAGCAGCAACGTGGACAATGGGATGTGCAGCAACAATCACGGCAATCTGGAGGTGGAAGGTAGCGGAAGTGCACCCGGACGGCATCGACAGCGGACAGCTGGAAGATGCAGTCAGCAGATTGAAGGCGTCGTTGCAGGACACGATACTGAGATACACATTGGGACTGTTCCCGCTAACACCAAGATCGCACGAGACAATAGTTGTGGCAAAGCGGATACGCGCAACATGGGCAGCTGCCACTAGGCAGGCAGATGCAGAAGATGGAGGAGGTAGCGTGACACGGGTGGGCTTCTTCGATGGAGGCTCACGGGGAAATCCCGGACCCGGAGGAAGTTTCAGCGATAGTAGAATGGACCGGGGAGAGTGAGCGGCCAAAGATACTGTGGGCCGCGGCAACGAGCCTGAGCAACAAACGAACCACCAACAATGTGGCTGAATTTGTGGGACTGCAGAGGCTACTCGCGGAAGCAGCGGCTAGGAGGTGGAGAGGGATGCAGGTCGTGGGCGACAGCGCCATGATCCCGGGACTCATGCGTCGGCGAAAGGTTCCAAAAGCGAGGAAGTTGCTGCACTGGTTCAGACTAGCGAGGAAGCTGGCGGATCAGGGGCAGGTCCAAGTGTGGCAGCACCACTACCGCCAGCACAACAAGACAGCAGACGGGTTGGCAAACTTCGCCATGGACACCGGCAAGAGCGTGATGTTCACGGCGGAAGCGGAGGGGATGGAGCACGAACTGAGAACATTGGCGGAGATGTGGATACAAGGGGACGTCAACCAATGGAGGAAAGGAGTGAGCAGCGAACGTGATCCAGGCACCAGATAGCAAGCCCGGAAGACAAGAGGAAGAAGTAGCACAGAAGGAGAGGAGCAAGGACAACTCGACGGTGCAACACAAGCTAGTCGGGAATGGTTATTAGAGTTCAGGCAGCAAGCTGGTAACACAATACACCTCACCAAACAGTACTAAAAAAAAGTGGAATTACTGCGACGCGAGATGGAGACGCGCAAGGCTTTCACACAGACGGAGTTGTGTTCCAGCGTGTGAATATTCGAGCCGAGATTATCCAGCGTATGATCCTCACGGGTGCGAGCGTCGAGACGATCTCGGAATGCTCTATTGATAAAGTGTCCACATGGACAGTTTAGACTTCAACATGCTAAATAAAAATTCCCCATAGACAGTTTAGACTCTAGCTCTTAGGCACATCAGATTACTTATGCTTGATTGGCTAGTACATTTCATTTAAAATTCGAATCGACCAATCAAACACAATTAAGAGAATGCACGTGAAGCGGTCGATGTCCAAGGCGGATCGTCGGCGTCTCGTGGCTGCGAGCGACAGCGCGAGCGACTCAGATGTAGAAGCCGCAGAAGAGCTCTCTGAGGACGACAAACCGCTGAGCTCCATCATTCAGACAAAGAAGCGCAAGACCAGAGTGCAGGGTCCACGGCAGCCTAAGAAAACCTCAAAAGAAACCGAAAGTGAGGCAAGCGAACTTTTATCTGAGGACAACGCTGCTGTCGACGAGGCGGAACTTCAACTTCTGGCGATTGAATCTCGACGTCTCGACTTCGAAGTGGCCAAGTGGAAACAGCAACAAGCGCTGCGGCGTGAGACGCTTAAGCTCAAGAGTGAAGAGATTAACCTAAAAGAAGCAACCACCAAACAGAAGCAGCAGACGCAGATGATGGAGCTCCGAGCAAGACTCATTAAGGCGTTGGATGAGGCTGGAAAGGACCCCTCTGAGACCAAAAAATACCTCGCACTACTAGAAGAATGAGGACAAATTGATAATGTAACCGAAAATTTTACGAAATACTTCGAAGTACAATTGATAATTCAGCAACAGCATTGAAAATTGCTCACTAAACTTTTCATTTTGCCTGGAAAATCTTTACATCTTCTTGTCCATGAAGTCTTCGTAGCTCTGACCGAACAGACGCTGCACGTCGCGTTCGATGTCGCCCTTGGACACCTTCCAGCCCGTCGCGAACAACTTCTCGTACATGTCCACCAACACCTCGCCGATCACGTCGCGCGAGTGGCTCCACTTGTAGATGAGCTGGTCCAGCACACGCGCGTCCGAGTGCTGACTCGTGAACGCCGTGCCCAGGATCTCGATGCGCATGCGCGTCAGCTCCTCGATGATCGACGGGTTGTTGCAGTACCACCAGCAGCCGTACAGATGCAAGTTGCGGAACTTGTTGGCCGTCACCGTCACCTCGTGCTGGTTCACACGCGACAGGAACGTGGCCAGGAACTTGACGCGCGGGAAGTTGTTGCACAGTTTGATCAGGATGTCCACGTTGCTGGGCTTCACGCCGTCTCCGGCCACACCGTAGCGAGCGTTGATTGGACGCACACTGTCGAACTTGAGTGCGATCGGCAACTTTTTCTCCTCGGCCAAAGGCAACAAAACCTGCAGCAACAACTCGGCACCATTCGGCAGAGCGTCAGCGGTAGATTTGGGTGCATTCTCATCCGGATACTCGAAGAAAATGGGTACACTCGACATGAAGTACTCGGGCTTCATAATGTCGATCCATTTCTCCAGTAAAGTGCGAACACCCGCCAGAGTGTGTGGCAGCTTGAACACGTCCAGGGTGGGGCCGATAGACGCCCAGTCGCCCAGAAGGACCTGATCCACACGCAACGCCGAGCGGAAGTACTTGCGAGACCAGGCAGGCGGAGGCGTGTTTGTGGATGGGTCTCCCAGCCAGTGACGAGCCTCTTCGGGTTCGAACGGAATGTTGGTCATCACCGCGTACTTGAGCCCAGAGAGACGGAAGACCGTGTCCACGTACTCGTCGGCGTCCTGTTGCTTGAACCATTCCTGAATCGCAGCGAGGTCGCGCTTGGCCACGAGATGGTCCAGACCCAGCAAATGCAGCGTCGTCAGCACACCACGACAGGCCTCGGACACTGGCGAGCGGTCCACGAACAAATGCTGCCAGATGAGAGCCGCCTGTTTCTCCTTCGAGTACGAGTTGAACTCCTCCACTTGCAGGGCTGCAGTCTGTAAGAACTCAGCCACCAGGTAGTGGTACGTCAGGAGTTCGTTAACACCCCAGAGCATGAGTTTGCCGTGACTCGGAGGGAAGAGATGCGTGTGCACGTCGATGATCTGGACGCTCGCGACGGCTTCACGCACGAAAGTGGCGACTTCTTCCTTGGTAGCGAGGAACTCGCTCGTGTGGTGATTACGCAGCACGTCTTCCAGTGTTTTCAGCGCTGTCTGTTTGCCAGACACGAGACGTTGGTAGAGTGCCGCGACGTCCGCAGCGAAGGAAGCGTACGCGTCATTGGTGAGGTCGAAGCCCTTGACGGAGCTGAGCACACTAGCAACGGCCACGCCGACACCACTGGAAACCTCGGAGGAAGATTCAGCACGTGCAGACTTGGGGAAGTCGTTGCTGCTGCTCTTACAGGCACCAAACACCTTGTGACTAATCTTCCACAGATTCGTAGCAGTGTGACCTGCTTCACCGTCCAAGAACTCGTACTTGCCAGTGGAGATATTGGCAGTTAAGCCATTGGCATACACCCACGTCTTCTCTGTTACAGAGTAGAGTGGCGTACGGTCTTGAATCGAGTCCATAGCACCGACAAAAACGCTGGTACCGTCCTCTTTTCTCGAGTCTGACTGCGTCGGAGTCAGGTATCGCAAGATCAAGGCCGTGGCGAAGGCCATGAAGACACTAGGACGGTACTTCTCGTCTCTGATTACATTGGCCTCCACAGTGCTGAAGAGTCTGACGCCGTACTTCAGCATGGCGTTCTGACCGACCCAGAAGTTGTCAAGACCAAAGTGTTTGTGCTCCACACGACTCATCCACTCGTCGTATGTGTGTTGAGCCTCTTGTTTACTGATGCCACGTAGCTCAAGTGATGGCGCAACGTCATTTGCGTACAGCAGATCCAGATACTGACGGATCTCCGGGTACTTCAGTACGTCGCACGTAGTCTTTACGCGTGTGAGGGCTAGTAGATAGACCATAGCAGTGTGTACTGCATTAGCGATACTCAGTTTCAGTAGGTGGTCTTGTTCCAGTTGGCCTGCAGTTGTACGGATGTGTAAACCCGGTAGAACACTCAACTTGTTGGCGTCCAGGACACCATGGACGTCCTCAATTACCAACGTTTTGGTCGGCCAGGGCTCCGTTAACGGCACGAGCGAGTCACCCGCTCGGTGGGACGTTAGACGATCGACCATCGTGTTGTGGAAATGCACGTTGGACGTCACATAGGCTCGGAACGAAGCCAGATCACTTGGCTGACCCTTCCATTCCGTTTTCAGCACCAGCTTCTTGATGGTGTCTCCGTTCTTGGGCAGATTGTCAGTGTTGATCACCGAGACAATATTGTCTGAAGTGACAAGAAACAGTATAAAATATGAGATTCGACTGCCATAATTGAAGATTGACTATACGCACTGGGCTGAGTTGTGAAGCAGTTGTAGAGCAGTTCCGTGAGGTCCACGATGGCGGGGCCTCCTTTGACGATACCGCTCTCCGTGACGCCAAAGCCAATGAACTTGAGCTTAGAGACTTTGGACGGCAGTTGCATGAAGGCTGCGCGGCCCTCGGCGTCTCCCAAGGAGCCGACGGCTTCCACTTCGACGACCTCGGTCTGTACACTGCCGTCGTTCTGGATAGTGTCCACCTCGTATTTTCCCTCGGCTTTGGCGCAGGCCGACGCGAAGCTGGTGCCTCGCGTCTGAGCTACCACAACGGCGCTACCAGCCGCACGCAGCGTAGGTACCAGCACACAACGCTGCAGGTATGGCGCATAGTTAGGGATCCGTTAATGAGGGAGATAAGAGTGTTGAAAACGCACCAAGAAGCGGCCACTGCCAATGCAGATAGCGTCGGTCTTGTCAGAGAAAGACTGTCCTCGTAGCGGCGTGAACATCGTGGTGTGTGTCTTCCTCTGCGCTTGCGCTCTCGACGGCGAAATGAAGAATGACATCGACCTTCAACCACGATCTTGGATTGGAGGTCACACCCCGGGGTTTAGCGTGTTAAAACATTAAACTAAGGGAATAACCTAAAGTTAAGGACTGCTGACGTACTTGCAGCCTGTTTTGAGTTAAACTGCGGCTGGGATGCTTGCGATTTGCTTTCGTAAAGTGCTTGATGCGCTTGATGAGTGATGGAAGTTGGGGCCTTGAGCATCATTTTCTGAGCCTCCGAGTTAACACTGCAACCACTGCACCACCATGACAAAGCACTGACAGCAGTGCTGTAGCCAAATGATCATCATTTCCGCTCTAAAATCCCAAGATAGACCTGGTCAGACTCCATTCATGACGAGCATCTGCTTTAAACTTCAGCTTCGACACGCGTCGCAGATGTCGGGTGTGAATGATCCACGTGTTCACCGATCATGTTTGCCAGGGGGCTGTGCTGCGTCCCCACGTGGGTAAAGTCCCCATTTTCAGATCTCCCACCTTTTTGCAGAGACCAAGACCATGTTCACGCCGCTTCAGGGCTCCAACTTCGCCGAGAACACACGCGCCGTCTGCATCGGCAGTGGCCGCTTCATGGTACTGAAATGTGCAACAATTGATACATTTCGGCACTTTTTACTAACGTTGTTACTCCTCTGCAGCGTGCTGTGCTGGTTCCAGTCTTCCGTGCTCTTGACTCGGGCGTCGTGGTGGCTCAGACTCGCGGAACGAGCTTTGTATCAGCTTGTGCCGCTGCTAAGGGCAAGTACGAAGTGGACACCATCGACTCAGAGGGGCACGTGGACACTACCGTCTTTGAGCTGGAAGGTGCGACTCTACTAGCTGTTCTACCTTGTGATCCTCCTCTAAAACATAACATTATTATGTTATTGTACAGCGGTGGGCTCTCTGGGTGTCGCTGAGGGTCGTGCGGCGTTCCTGAGCCTCCCAGCCAAGCTGCCACAGCTCAAGTACGTCGGCTTCGGCGTCACGGAAGCAGGACTACAGTCCGGCACTCAAGTGATCAAAGACCTGGCCGAGTTCTTACAAGCTGCCTTCAAGGCTATCCCAGGTACATATTTGAGGTTTCTTAAGCTCTGATTGAGTACATTTTCTCACGAATTGTGCTTGTAGACAATGACTTGTCCATTATCAACACGGACAACTTCCCGAACAACGGAGACCACATCAAGAAGCTCGTGTTTGAGCTGGACTGGGTCAAGAGTGACAACGCTACTGCGTTCCGCGGCTACTTGGACTCCAAAGTGCACTTCCACAACACCATGGTGGATCGTATTACGAACCACCGCGCCGGAGACTCCGTCGTGCCTCTAACCGAGCCACTACCGGCCAAGGCTATATCCATTGAAGACTTGAACGGAGCGCTGGATGCTGAACGTCTCCGCAAGGTTCCTGGCGTCCACGTACGCACGAGCAAGTCGGAGATCGCCAAGGATTATCTACTCAAGTTCTCGCTTGGCAACGCTGTGAACTCGGCCATGGTGTACCTCCTGGCGCTCTCTCGTCAACGTACAGCCAACCAGTTCCAGAAGTTCCCTATTATCAGCGAGTATCTGGATGCTCTATTCGACAAGGACATTCTCCCAGCTCTAATCGCTGGCGAGGTGGGAGAACAGGAAGCCCGTCAGTTCTACGCTGAGTGGCTGGTGCGTATGAAACATCCGCACTTCGGTCTCGACAACTTCTGGGTCTCACAGAACGCGTTGTTGAGAGTTTATGTGCGTCTCCTCAACTCCGTGAACATCAACGTCGCACACTATGAGAACTACCGTCCCAGCAAGTTCATGGCGTATGCTACTGCTGTCGCTCTTCGCTTCTTGACGCCGTGGCAAGCTGATTCGAAGCGTGAAGCCTCTACTGTCTTTGTGGGTCAAATGGACCCTATCCAGAACAGCGCGCCCATCTTTTCGCTTACGGAGAAGACGTGGAGCTACGATACGGGACTCACAGCTAACTTATCGACGGGTAAGTACGAGTTTGACGACGGTGAGAACGGCCGTGTGTCTCGCTTGCTGTGGCGTGCTAGCCAACAGGTTCTTGAAGCTAGTAAAAGCAGCAGCAACGACTTCCCCAAGTCTGCACGTGCTGAATCTTCCTCCGAGGTTTCAAGTGGTGTCGGCGTGGCCGTTGCTAGTGTGCTCAGCTCCGTCAAGGGCTTCGACCTCACCAATGACGCGTACGCTTCCTTCGCTGCGGACGTCGCGGCACTCTACCAACGTCTCGTGTCTGGCAAACAGACAGCGCTGGAAACACTGGAAGACGTGCTGCGTAATCACCACACGAGCGAGTTCCTCGCTACCAGGGAAGAAGTCGCCACTTTCGTGCGTGAAGCTGTCGCGAGCGTCCAGATCATCGACGTGCACACGCATCTCTTCCCTCCGAGTCACGGCAAACTCATGCTCTGGGGTGTTAACGAACTCCTGACGTACCACTACCTGGTGGCTGAGTTCTTACAGACTGCAGCCCTGCAAGTGGAGGAGTTCAACTCGTACTCGAAGGAGAAACAGGCGGCTCTCATCTGGCAGCATTTGTTCGTGGACCGCTCGCCAGTGTCTGAGGCCTGTCGTGGTGTGCTGACGACGCTGCATTTGCTGGGTCTGGACCATCTCGTGGCCAAGCGCGACCTCGCTGCGATTCAGGAATGGTTCAAGCAACAGGACGCCGACGAGTACGTGGACACGGTCTTCCGTCTCTCTGGCCTCAAGTACGCGGTGATGACCAACATTCCGTTCGAGCCCGAAGAGGCTCGTCACTGGCTGGGAGACCCATCCACAAACACGCCTCCGCCTGCCTGGTCTCGCAAGTACTTCCGCTCGGCGTTGCGTGTGGACCAGGTCCTTCTGGGCGACTGGGCGTCTATCGGCCCCACCCTGGACGTGTTCAAGCTGCCACACACTCTGGCGGGTGTTCGCACTTTACTGGAGAAATGGATCGACATCATGAAGCCCGAGTACTTCATGTCGAGTGTACCCATTTTCTTCGAGTATCCGGATGAGAATGCACCCAAATCTGCCGCTGACGCTCTGCCGAATGGTGCGGAGTTGTTGCTGCAGGTTTTGTTGCCTTTGGCCGAGGAGAAAAAGTTGCCGATCGCACTCAAATTCGACAGTGTGCGTCCAATCAACGCTCGCTACGGTGTGGCCGGAGACGGCGTGAAGCCCAGCAACGTGGACATCCTGATCAAACTGTGCAACAACTTCCCGCGCGTCAAGTTCCTGGCCACGTTCCTGTCGCGTGTGAACCAGCACGAGGTGACGGTGACGGCCAACAAGTTCCGCAACTTGCATCTGTACGGCTGCTGGTGGTACTGCAACAACCCGTCGATCATCGAGGAGCTGACGCGCATGCGCATCGAGATCCTGGGCACGGCGTTCACGAGTCAGCACTCGGACGCGCGTGTGCTGGACCAGCTCATCTACAAGTGGAGCCACTCGCGCGACGTGATCGGTGAGGTGTTGGTGGACATGTACGAGAAGCTGTTCGCGACGGGCTGGAAGGTGTCCAAGAGCGACATCGAGCGCGACGTGCAGCGTCTGTTCGGTCAGAGCTACGAGGACTTCATGGACAAGGAGATGTAATTCTGCGAAGAAGAAAACCCTAGATGTCGTCTAAAAAAATGAATCGCAAACTGTTGATGCACATGGCACTTCTCTTTTGGTCTCAACCTCTTGTATTTATGATTACCCGCTCATAGTCACTTGGCTGCGCTCTGTAGTCGGCAACTCAGCCCACAATGCGAAGCTCTGCAAGATAATGGACGCCGCGACGGTCACGTTGAGTGAAGCAGTTCCGCCTCCATACTGCGGGATATAGACAAAGTCGTCGCAAATGGCTACTTGCGCCGAGTTCATGCCGCTGCCCTGATAAGAGACGCACAACAATGCGTCAGTCATCGACAACCAGCCATATCCATCGCAGTGACCCACCTCGTTGCCCATAATAAAAGCTGTATCACCGCTAAACGGTTGGTCTGCAATGCTCTTGGCGTCATGCATGATCTCTACACCCACAATGCGGATACCTCGCTCCTGACAGAGCGCTCTGCAGTCCTTCAGAGTGGCCACACGCGTGACGCTGCAGCTCAATGAGCTCAAAAACGGCTCCTGCTCTTGCAAGTCGAACTTCTTCTGTCCCACAACGAAAACCTCTTTCACTCCAAAGGCTGACGCACTCACAAGCATGTTCTTGATGTTCTTATTCTTCTGCACATTGTTCAGGATGAGGAAGTGGCGCGGAGCTTGAGCAGCGACACCTTTTTGCATGTCCATTGCTAATTAGACCTTCATGTAGTCATATTGGGATCACTTATGCGTTATCATAGGTTCGAGTGTACCACCTCAAGCCAAAAATGCTGAGATGGCTACATCAGTTGCAGTGCATGACCAGAGCATAAATAAATCAGACTGCAAGATCCCGAGCTTGGGCAGGAGACGCAATGGCGATGGCGTCGCCTCTGGGCAGCGGCAGCTCCGTGTGTCGCCGTAGCTCTAGCGACAGTGCAGCCAGCAGCGCCTCGTCGCCCTCCGGCAGCCACTTTGCCATTGTGGACAAGAAACGTAAGCTCGCGACGGTTGACGCACACCAGGCTGCGCTGGAGGCTACACGCAAGCGCCGCAGTATTCTTAACGACGACATGGACGATGAAGACATGGAGGATGCAGCCTGGGCCGTACGCGCACCCAGCAAGCAGATGAGCATCGCCAACCTCATCAGTTCACCGCCCACGCCCACCACCAGCGACGACAGCTTCTGGGCAGCCACCTCGGCGTTAGCAGACGTGACCATCAAGCCCGAGAAGGTTGTATTGGACGTGGAGATGCCGCAGGAAACTCACAAGCCGCCAACCTCGTCCTCGAACATTCCGGCAGCGTTCCTGACCACGCAAGCTTTTGCAAGCCCGAGGGACTTTTTTGTCGCGCCCGAGGTCGCTGCTACAAGTCCCCGCACAGGCACAGGAACGACCAATGCAGCAACGGAGAAGACTCATGTGGTCTGCACGTTGTGCCAAGTGACTATGGGCAACAGGGTCTACAGTCTCAAGAGACACTTATTTCGCCACCACCCACAAGTTTTCCGGGTCGACAGTCCCATAACAAAAAAGAAAATACAGTCACCGCCGTTTATGAAGAACCAGGTCATGAAGAATGACCCGGAGATTGCACGTTGGAGAGCAAACGACCAGCAGGTGGTGCATCTCAAGGACTATGGCGGGCCTATGAAGCGCTACAAGATGACGGATAATGTGGACAATAATCCCGTGGAATCCAAGCTTAATGCTGCGTTTGTGGGCTGGCTGCGCTCGGACGTGATCCCAATGAAGGCTCTGCAAAGTGAGCTGTTCCGGAAGTTCCTGAAACTTGTGAACCCAAAGTTCGAAATTCCACAAGTTGTCGTGCAACCCCGACGGCTGCACACGCTCTCAAATCTTGGGAAAGGGGAGGACTTGACAGCCAGTCGTTCCATTAAAATGACTGCCATTGAGTGTGCAACTGAGCCGCGCTACATGAAGGGTCTCTGTCTTCAAGGCAACGGGCTAGCGCCGCAGTTGGTCACAGACCTCCTTGTCCCAACTCCAGCGCCCCATGAAGCTCTGGTTGAGGTGTTACGAGCAGGTATTTGCGGGACTGATCTACAGATGATCGATAATTACAAACCAGGCTTCAAAGGTGCGCTAGGTCACGAGTTTGTGGGCATTGTGCGGAAACTCGGCGAGCAGTTCGCTAACGACGAGCAGACGCAACGGATGTGGCTCGGCAAGCGCGTCGTTGGGGAGATCAACATTCCCTGTGACGCGTCCAACTGTGCAACTTGTGCACGTTGCAGTCTTAACCGTAATCACAGTGGCGACACTTTGTCTCGAGAAGAAATCTTACGTCGCAACCATTGCCCGAACAGATCTTGTCTTGGCATCGTGAGGAAAGATGGCGCCTTCGCTGAGTACATTACGTTGCCTCTTGCGAACTTATATGAGGTACCCGACGGAATTATGGACTCACACGCTGTCTTCGCCGAGCCTCTTGCAGCTGCTTGTCGAATCCTGGAGCAACAGGTGATTCAGCCAACCGACAACGTCGTGGTGCTTGGAGATGGCAAACTCGGTCTGATGGTGGCAGAGGTGTTGCATGCAACTGGAGTTGCAAAGACCATCACTCTCGTGGGAAAGCACCGCGAAAAAATGGCATTGGCGAAACATTTTGTCAACACAGTCTACACTTTGAACAGTGGCGAAGAGACGGAAATGGCAACATTGGCAAATCGCATGGCCAATGAGATGGCTCCGTTCGATGTGTGTGTCGAGAGCACAGGAACCCCCGGTGGCATCGCGTTGGCACTGAGACTAGTGCGCGAACGCGGCACTGTGGTTATGAAGTCGACATGCTCGGCGAAGCGATCGACGGTGGACGTGCGGCAAGTGCAGCGCAAGCGACTACGAGTGGTGGGATCCCGTTGTGGCCCCATTCCCTGGGCGCTGCGACTACTACGGGACCGCAAGATCGACGTGCAAAAGTATATTCATGGCGTGTACCCGCTGGAGCGAGCCAAGGCAGCATTGGCTCACGCAGCACAGCGAGGCACCCTCAAAATCCAACTCGTGATTAGGTGACGCCACAATTCCACCGAGAGCGCAGAGAAGGAAGTATCTAAAGAAAAGCAAGCGCAACTACGAGAGTGGCCACAAGTACAGCTCGCATGGTTGAAGTGCAGCGATGTGGTGGCCAGAATACATTTGTGAAATTTGAGTTGCCGTCGTGTACATGTAGTACCGTATCGCTTCAAGTTGGTCGTGACGAATGCTACGACGATGGTGAGACTCAGACGAGATGGTCCTGCAGCTTGATCACGAAATTTTAAGAACGTTCTTGAAGAATGTTCGCAAACAGTGTGAAGCATGTCACGGAATCGTCTCGTTTTATCGGAGCTTGTTGAGATCTAAGCGGCTCAAGGCCTACCGGTAATGGCCGGTGGCGACGTATTGAGTCAAGGTATTATGAGATCAATTTCGTTGCGAAACTTGCTTCGGGTTATGAAGAAGTAAAAGAAGACACACAACAAGGCTTCAAATAAATTGGTGGCTTTGGGGTACATTCATCAGAAAGCGTGCTCTGTTGCCAACAGTGTTGGTGCCTGTTATGTGGAGTTTACAGCCACGATCTCGGTGGAGAAGGTCGCACTTCAACGTGGAGCATGTGTTTTTGCGGATTTCGAGTGCAATTGGACACGTACTTGGTTGCCGTGATGCATGACATTTCTTGAGATAAAAGTCGATCATAAAACCAACGCGGGTTCCTAGATCGGCAAGATGACTTCTCGCCCCGTTTGCTCTTGAAAAATTGACCGAGTTTTAAAGCTCGATGAGACTTGTACTGTACCAGACTCAGCCTGTGCCACACACTGTGTGCGGCGCAGGTGAGTTGGAGCACCTGCGAGAGACCTCAGGTAGACAAACGCGAACTTCTTCAAGATCCTAAAGAGCATCTTAATACATACAAGTAGATTGCTGGGCAAATCGTCGCAGGCAGTCGCGAAGGTTAACCACGAAGGTTTCGTGATCAACTTTCAGCTCCGTCCTCATTAAAACATTTACTCGATCAAACACAATGGACTTCAACGACCTGTACCTCTTCGTGGGCCCGCCAATGACTCGTGGTCCTCCGCAAGTGCCTCTATTGCCATCTCTTCTTCCTCCTCCTCCACCCCCAGCAGCACCGTCAATACCGTTGCTTCCTCCCATGCTGCCACGCCCTCCGTCGTCGTTTTCCAAGAAGCTGCAGAAACAGAATGCGCGTCTTAAACCTTATCATCGCCTCAAGCCAAACCAGCGCAATTTGGATAACCAAGTACGACCCCAAATGAAGCCTATCGAACCGTGTGAGGGCAACGAGCGTGAGATGCAGATGATGATGTCCGAGCTGGAGCTGGAATACCGGACCGCAAAGAAAGACTGGCCGGGTACCACAACGCCGGACACCCGCAGTTTGAACGCGTATGGTGACCCTCAAGCGACGTGGACTACTGTCTTGGAAATGTGTCCACAGTTTTTTGCTCTCGACCCCATCGTGGGTGAGTACTTTTAAGATGACATTTTAGTCAAGTACTCTTTCAAACAATGCAACCCAAGAAAGGAGACGATAGATGTATTAATGTATTTACTCATTTCACTACAAAAGCGATTCATCCTTTTTGTAAAGCATTTTTTGTCTTGGCGGGATTCGTTAGTCGAAAACCAGCTCGTGGCTCGATTTCAGTTCTCCACAAAGCTTTAAATTTTCGAGCTCCATCTTTTTGAAACTTCACCAATTATAATACCGGAAGACCAATGCAATTCACCTTGCGAGCAGCTCATCTTCAGGCTACCAGACAAGGAATTAAGTTAGGGACGTTAAGGATGCCGTCCCAGCTCCTCGAAGCGAATCTCGGGGTGCTCCTGGCGGGGCTTAAGGCGACATAACAAAAACCATAGCAGCAGCGGGCGATGCACTTCACTGTGGGGCTTTGGTACGATCAAGGTGTCGTCGTCTTGAGTATCCCACTCCTATGGCAAGCGAGTGGTACAACGCTCGAGTCGAGACACGCCAAATATGTAAAGCGTTATCGTCGCGACGAGTACATGTAACACGTTAAAGTGGAAAACGCTGTGCCCAGATGCAAGTCATTCGGTGGTCGAGTTGCGAGGTTCACTTCAACCTGGCCGCACTCGCGTCCTGTGTATCTGACGGCGCAGAGGTCTTCCGTGCAAGCAGTTGGTCCCAAGCTTGCCGCGGAATCCGCTGCGGATGGTCCCCAGGAAGCCGCGTGGCAAAGCCCCACAGCTTATTGATCCAGGAGTCCTGCCAGCCCCAGGACTTGCAGCATTGCAGCAAACACGCCAGCAACACTCGCAAGCGCCCGCCGATGGTGAGACTTGGCGCAGGATCGTCGAGACACTCCCAAGCCCCGTTTGCACCAAGAAGTTTCCCAAACCATGGAACGTCGAGGTGACACGCGCGCGCTGGCTGCGGATACTTTTCAGAGCACCAAGCCGTGCAATGCAGGCCATGTTTTGATCGTCGCCACCGTCGCTGACGGCAGGACCAACCTCCGCTATTCCTGGCGCAGCAATTAAGACTGAAAGGTTCCCCTCATTGGCTTCCCGGCTGTGCCGTAAGTCTTTAAGACTGTCGGACGGCGTAAGCTCTTGAGTCAAGGATTCCTTAACATTGTGCCGCGGCAAATCGTTGCGGCAATTGCGCGGGGCGCATCTGATCCAGTGTTAGCGCACGGGCAAAAGACAAGAGGGGAGAAGAGTCCGCAGCCGCGAAGAGAGGGCAGTCGGCGCGGCAGAGGCCGGGCGCTTGGACTTTGGAGCCGAGGCACACACCGACGGCGCGAATTTTTTAGCCCCGGCCCAAATGTTACCCATGTGTCCCGGCTGCGCGCGCGCATCTGTGGCCGGTTCGCCGTCTTTGTAACGGATCCAAGGAGGTAAAGTAGGTACATGTACTACACAAGATCGCGTATCTTTCTTTTTTCCTTCGTCATAGTTTCGCCCTGGACCTCTGAACGTTCGTCGAGCAGTCAGCAATGCGGCCAAGTCTCCAGCGACCAGGTTGGCTTGGGCGACAGCGCTGCGGTTGACGGAGGACCATGCACCGACACACTGCTGCCACGCGGCTGGATAATTCCCCCCCCCTCTCTCGCGCCCGTCTCCATCGAACGCGCTGTGCTCGATTTCGGTGGTCAGCTGTTTCCGGGTGGATTAAGCTCGCAGATGTCGACACGTTGGTGGTCAAGTGCCGGCGTGACTGTCAGGCATGGGACAGTCATGCGCACGATCGTCCTGCCGTAGTCAACAACGAGCTGTCATGGCCAGCTTGGAGTTCGTACAAGCACTCCCCACAGGAGTTCCTGTTGAGTACGATATACTGTTCATGGAGCAGCAAGCGGTGTCCAGCTTTTGGTGGTTTCAGTGAGAAGCTGGTGCGGGTTCCGCGAGTCCGCTCGCTCCCGCAGTGCGGGAGCGAGCGGACTCGCTGCGGAGCATCCTTTTGGTTGGTGCTCGTGTAATAGTTTTCGGACCCTGGATATTAGTTTTGAAATCTGCTGTAACTTCCAGCCTGTCAGTTGGTTTCCAAAGCAAAAGTTTTAATCTTCTTTCGCCGTCGTGCTTACTTTAAAGCTTACGTGCATCTCGATCTACCAGACTGCCTCACCCACAGATTAGGCTGCCTTTTTGTATGTCACCGTAGTAAAAATCTAGCCTGTCATGCCCGCCTCTTGATAAAGACACCGAAATAAAACCAGCAGCGTTACATAGTAAAGCAGACAACACAAGGCAGTGTGGGATATGGTCGACCGCTGAGAAGCTTGGTTGCGTTCCTCCAGCATACGATACAAACTAGATACATATAGCCTAGTAGCCTGGTAGCATAAGCAGCAGATATCGACAGCCTCGTTGAGCCTCTCGCTCTTTTTGTAAATCGAGGGCAGCTAGGGATGGAAGGATTTTCAGCCTCAAGGTTTTTGGGCATAGAGCAGGGACGAGTCAGCCTTGTGACTTATGACCTCTACTGATACGAACATTCGGAGTCGAGGCTTTCTTTTACTTTTGTCCGTCAGAGCAAAGGAGCTAGTCATCCTGCGATACGCCGGTCAATGGTGCGGTCACTAAAGCCAGGGGTAGCATTTATCCATCCAAGCAGACGAGGCGCTGCTCCGGGCTGGCTGCTCCGGAGCTCGGTAGTGTTGCTGGAAGACGCCGGAGCGGCAACAGGTCCGCGACGCACCTGCGTGTGAAAAATCGCGTCCTTGCCAAGCCATTGGTGCCGACGACGGGCGGGTTTCATGCTACGCGCACGCGGAGGCATTTGCGAATCTGCGTCCACCCGACACCCCACTTGCCATGGTCATCTCCACGACGTACTCGAGCGGTGAGCTCCTGTCCTCGTTCGCACGGCACTCGGTCGTGGCCCCGACGGCGGGTATGTTGCAACCCATGCCGCCACATGTGGCGCACCTGTCCATGCAGCCGCCCTCTGCTGGTATGCTTGACGCGCAACACAAGCGCTCCCCGCTGCTCTGTGGCTATCCGAGCAAGAAATGCTGGAGCTGGCGCGTCCAGAAGCGCAATGGCGAGCTGCACAAGTTCTGCGAGTACCATCGTCAGAAGGCTAACACGAACCAGCGTCGCATGGAGCAGCGTCGGAAGCAGGGCCGCTCGGCCTCACCTCGTGCCAAGAACAGTGGCAGCTCACGTCGCTCGCAAAAGATCACTGCAGACGCCAAGCGCGAGGTGGTGATCAAGAGCGAACGCCCCGCGGTTATCCCCAAGGCGATCACGCACCCCAAGGCCGTGGTCGTCTCGCCCGTACTTAACAACTCGGGTAGTCCGCGCGGCATCGACTGCTTCGGTAACCGAAGTGTCGTCATGGACGACGCTGCTATGTTCTCCTGGATGGACGCTGAGCTGGACATTGGCATCGGTATGGACGCCGCTGTGGATTATATGATGGTGGACACGCCCGTGATAGACATGGAGCCGTCCGATACGCCCGTGGACTTGTTTGAGGAAGACCTCTTCTTTTTGGAACACTTCATCGACGAGATTTCGAACAGCACCGTCTAACGTGTGACGTCACACGTGGGCCACCTTCACCCAACGACACCAATCCAGTTAAGTTAATGAGCGTCTCACCTGCTCCCCAAGTCGACCACACATAAAGTCCGTATTTTGAAACAAGTAGTAGAAGTAGAATTGAAAAAAAAGCGAGAAAGTAGCGTGGACGCTGTACAGCAAAATTTAAATGCATCTATGCATGCGATGTGGCACTCAGCGATCCAAGTAGAGCCAAGTAGATTTATTTATTCAGAGAGAAGAGCGTGCAATATAAAAAATGGATTGGAATTTATAAAACATTGAGGACCTACGAAGTGTGGCAGCATCGACGTGGTCGTTTGGACCAAAGCTTGGTGGCGTTTTCACCAGCAGAAGTGGCTTGCAGCAGTCCAGCGAGAGACTCCCACAAGCTCCAAGCGAAATCGCAAGTTTATCGAAGCTAATACTAGTAAAAAACAAAGCTATTAATATCGCTGCCACGACAGTAATATTGTTGCTGTTTTATAATCTCAAGATCATTAGATCGGTGCTGAGTCTTCTTGGGAAAAAGATAACCATTTGTTTTTTTTTTGCGCAGCGCTCCGCCTCGTTCATTTAAGCGTTTATTAATTTGTGAGAGGCTGGCTAGCTAGCTTTATGACCGAGAGCTGACAGTGAGAAACTAAGCAAGGCACAGGCGTTCATGCTCCGCCGAGCAACTACAGATACAAAAACGGATCTAAGACGGCAACTACATCGCCACATTCTGAAGGGGCGCTCATTGGGGCTTCTGGAACTTCAGCGGTAGGCGGTGGTGGGGGCTGCTCGCTGCAAGAAGCAGCATGTACGCGTTAGCATTGGCGAGTGAGATAGCGTCACAAGGCAGTGACGTAGGGAGAGTGCCAGCTCGTACTTGCTTGTCCTTGTGCAAGTGTCCGAGAAGTAGTACTTTAGACGCCATGGCCACAACCAGGGTTGATATAAATTCATTAATATTCGCATTTTGAATTTCACTGAGTTAAATACTACTACATGTAGTAGTAGATAGTATTTTGAGATAGCTATCAATCTCTGGTTGCGATATACTGTAGTATTTTACATTCGCAGATGATGGCTTTGGTTTTTGATCTGTGCTAAGCTGACACGAGGGCTTGCTGCATGGGCTCTTGCTAGAGATATATCTCACCAACCAGTGCTGATATTTAAATTGGTTTTAGTGGATGACCATGTCAAATCCGATTGTCTGCATAAACGATCGCATCGCGAAGTGTCTGCGTGCCAAGGTCAAACAACAGCAAACTGTACGAATCGCACATGAACATGTCGAGTGGATGCCCATAAATTTACAAAAATAACGACAGCACATCCATTCACTGAACATCAGCACAAATTTGCTCATTAACTTAAACCTAACCGTCTGGCCGTCTCGATAGCGACACTGTCACTCGCTACCCCGTCTTTAAGCACGTAATGGAACGTCACCACGTCTTGAATCTCCGTGTGCGCGTCGGGTGCTGGATTGCGAGTAAGGTTGTGGTGTTATAGACTACCTCTCAACTTTTTAGCCCGCTCTAGTATAGCAGACGCAATACCGGCACACTACACCTTTGCCCGTCCAAACAGAGAATAATTTCAAGCAAAGTGGACAATTTGGTTTTTATAGTACAAATTTTAACTTTAGTAAAAGTAATCAACAAACAAACAGAGAAAGATCTCATCCAAAGCGAGACAAGGAAAGGCGATGGCTGGAAATCATTCGTGAAGGGGTGGTGAGGGTGCGTTGGCGCCAAAATGCGCGCGAAAACCTCGCCTGAAGCAAACCATCGCCTGAAGCAGTTCACTTTTCAATTCACCTCTTCAGACGAATGCCCTTCCAACCACTCCTCCGCAAGCACTCCCCCGCTGAGAAGCTCCGTGTCCTAGCTGCTCATCGCGCGGGACGCGCTGACTGGCTTCAGGTGGCCGCCAATAACGGCATATCGCGTGCGGTGGCATACCGCACTGTAGCCACAGGACGCGTAGAAGATCTACCGCGCGGTGGAGCTCGTGGTAGAGCTGTGAAGATGACACCAGAAGCAAAGTCCAAGCTGGAGGAATATCTTGACGACAATTGCACCTTCACCCTGGAAGCTATGCGCACGATGCTCTTTTTAGATACGAACGTGCGGGTCTCCACTTCAACGATCAGCCGCCACTTGCTTGGCATGCTGTTCACCGTCAAACAAACTCGCATAGAGCCCATGACATGCAACAACGAGATCAACAAGACCAAGCGGCAGAAGTTTGCAAAATCGCTGAAGGACCATCAAAAGAACGGTGACTGTATAATCTATTTTGATGAGACTAACTACAACGTTTACTGTACGCGAGGTCGAGGACGTGCACGGAGAGGTGAGCGTGCAACGCTCGTGATGCCGCCGTCCAAGGGTGCAAACTTGCAAGTCCAGTGCGCTGTAAGCTCGGCCATGGGTGTGGTTCTCCACCGTCTGGAGAGGGGAAGCATCCGAATGGAGCAGAATGCAGCTTTCATTGAGGAAATCTACCGGACGGTTAAGGCATCCTCCGTGTTTCATGACAGCTTCGCTGGGAAGAAGGTCATTATTGTCCTGGATAATGCCCCCGCTCACCGCCAAACCGAAGAACGTGTCGAAGCACGTGACGACCTCGTACTCCTACGACTCGGACCCTACTCACCGATGTGCAACCCGATTGAGGGTTGCTTCTCCGTTTTAAAAGCTCGAATCAAGGGATACCTGGCCTTGTACCGCGAAGAGATCTGCGACCGGAGTAACATGGTGGAAGAAGACGGCACTCCAATAACGATCAAGGAGCGCACTATGCGCTTCTTAGAGAAGGCTGCAGAATCGAGTATGAAGTATATAACACCTACGTTAGTGACGAAGATGGAGCTTCACGCTCGCGATGCGGTGAACGCGGCCGAGGAGATGAAAGACATGGTCTATGGGAAGTAGCTCACTGTGTCGTCTCGGTTTGAATGAGATTATTCTCTGATTCACTGGTAATTTTGATCCCGTAATCAGATATTTGTAATAATCAAAAACATATTGTCCACTTTGCTTGACATTATTCTCTGTTTGGACGGGCAAAGGTGTAGTAACAGTGCTGTTAATACATGTAAGCACCAGTAGCACAACACAAAGCCGTATTTTACACGGAGAAGCTCTGGAATTAAAAATGTGTGCAGGGCGGTTGCTTCACCATTGTAGTAAGATATGAACGGAGATTCCCTGTCAGAGAATAGAGGTCTTTGCATATATAAGTACTTAAAAGTACCCGAAAAACGTTTTTGTCAATTTGCTCTGTACAAATTAAGCTTCATTATATGATATAATGTCCTATTGGCGCTCAGTTTTGTATACAGCTACTGTATTCCATTGGATGCTTTGTTCTACTAATAACAGCATATACGCGATCATACTGTGCGAGTCGCACTGCGATCATTATTGGCGGTATGGATGCATCGATGCGCTACATTTACGAGGATTAAATTACATCGGCTAGTCGTAATTTACAGTGATGAAACTGCACATTCACCTGGGTAATACTGTATCACTGGTACAGAAGTACTTCAAAGTAATATTTTTTGTTCTTGATACTAGGAGAAATAAGGGAACAGGAAAAGCCACTTTACAAGTATTGGCAATCAATATAGATCTTATAAAATGCTGTTGAGAGCTCCATGTCGCAATGTGCGCGAGATGATGTATATCAAGCAGTATCCAGTCACCACCGAGGCGTACTAGCTACGGTGCAGTGATCACTTGGTAGTTGCAGCACAGCAAAAGCTCACAGGAACAATGCGCAAGTGACGTCGACTCAGCATTGCTCGAAGCTGCGGCCAATCTGCACACGCGTCGCTGTATCCTATGACAACCACTTTTTTTCTTAAAGAAAACCTTCGTCCTTCCAAGATTGTATCGCAATCGTCACGACAGACAAATCCTCAGTTTTCACGAAGCAGCATTCGACAATCAGCCAGTACAGTGTCTACACGGAATGGTTGTCAATGATAAGGAGGGGTGAATGGATGTCAGCCGACGTATTCTTTCCTAGCTCAGCAGGGTTCCATTTATCATGACATCCACCCCCATTTTTTTGAAGCATCGAGAACACGTCACGCCCGACACCGTACGCAGGCATTCCGAAATAATCATTGTATTGCTGCTTCAATACAATAGTTTACACTTAATTATTGATTTTTACAAATTGGATGACTTTGTCCAATTAGTTATTTTGTATTTACAGCAAAGTACTTTATTTTTTCGTAAAATCTAGTTTTTTCTGCTTTGTTTTGCGTAAATACGGAGCTCGGTCTCCAGACAGAATCGAATGGCTGTTAGCAACGGTCGCTCAAAACGCGAACCTGAGGCGCTCGTCTATCATTTTTGATCTCACCATGGCTCTCGCCAACACCTTCACGACCAAGCAAGTCTGCAGCTACTTTTTTACTGCCAGCTTGGCGACTTCCAGTCGGCCACCATGAAGCTTCAAGACGACAACGTAACGCTTCTCGATGTGCGCGATATCTTTGATGCGCTCATCGAGAAGCATTCCGTTGTGAAAAAGTATCTTGCTGCCGACGCAAATACGTGGACTTCGAGCGAGCGTGCGTTGTAGCCCTGTCAGGCGCCGTGGACGAGCTGACGAACGACCAGGAGCTGATGTTGCAGCCATTTGAGACGGTACCTGCAATTACGACACCGGACACCAGGCACGGACGCCCACAGGGCTTTGCCGACAGAGTCTTGGCGACTAGAAAAAAGCGGCGCGGTGCAAAGAAGATATTTGATGGTGTGCTTTTCATCCCGCCGACGTCAAACACCGTGGAGCGTCTTTTTAGTGTGGCGAAACATACTCTTTTCCACCATCGCCAGCGTATGCTGCCTATTCACCTTGAAACCGTGTTGTTCCTGAAGATGAATCGGCGTTTCTGGGACGCAAACACTGTAGCAGCTATCGTGAACGCAAAGTAATGTGCAGTGCCAAACATCTAAGTAGTTAATTTTCCAATACACTACTATTGATGTCAATTATTTATTTCTTAAGCTGTAGTTTTTGTAGCAATAGCTTATTTTGGCATGGACCTTCAATATGATTGCAATTGTATTATCGGAATGCCTGACCGTACGTGCGTGCACCGAGGGGTTCACCGGTTAGCTATTTTTGGGGTCGTTTACGGGTAGGGCCTGATAATTGGGTCAGGCGGGTTTCCTGACGGCCCTACCAAACACAGGACCAATTGCTAAGCTACATATTGAAGTGAAAGATATGAAGCTAAGCAGTTGGGTTAAAATGCTTAGACCACGATGGTCTGCGCGGCACGAGGTTCGTCGGCTTCAGTGTCGCATTCATCGGCATCACTGTCATTGCTGATCACATCTGCGCCCAAATTCGTAGCAGCAGCGTCCCCTTCGCTGCTAGTACCAGAGACGCCCTCGTTGTCATCATCACTGTCGACATCTACAGCCTCGTCATCTTCTTCACTGCTCGATTCTTCTTCTTATGTAGGAGGATCCTGTTGGAAATGAAACCTGACCCAATAATCAGGCCTGACCTGTATACGACCCCGTTAAAATTCTACCGGTTCACCCAAGCAGCCTACTAAGGTTTCGTTCTCTCACTTCCATCCTCATTTGACAATCCGACCGGCTGAGCACACCGACTTCATCACATCGCCACATGATGACCACCACCAACACGCCGTTCGTGAACACGCAGTGGAGCGTCTGTGGGCGTAAGCTACTCAAAGATGGACACAACTTCTTCGTGCGCGGCGTGATTTACGCTCCTACGCCCATTGGCAAGCCCGGGCGTTTGGATATGTTGGGCGAACCCACCATCTTTCTACGCGATCTACAGAATCTACGTCTCATGAACGCCAACGCCGTCAAAATCTACGATTTCTACAGCCACGTTGACCATCAGGGCTACTTGGACGCCGCGTACAACAACAATGTGAACTCGGTATACACCATCTTCTCCATTTGGATCGATCAGTCCATGATGCTACCTGATCTACCTCAAAGTAGTCCCGAGTTTCAGCATCTAGTGCATGAATACTACCTCATGGCCCAGACAACCGGAAGCCACCCTACCGTCATGGGTTACTCCATCGGCGGTGAGATGAACAGCATCACTGTCATCTACGACGAGTCCTTCTGGAGCAAGTTCCACGCTCTAAGCAACGCCGTGCGTCGTGGACTTAAGGAGAACAACAACGCACAGAAGATCATCTCCACCACGTTTGTGGATGACGGTGGAGAGACCTTCATAGCCGGCGAGAGACACAATGCCGATGTCGATATGTGGGGCTCCAACTTCTATCAGACGGACTACCCTGGCTCCGTCATCCCAAAGTTCTTGGCAGTACCCGGTGGTAAGCCACTGCTGGTGAGTGAATACGGCTACCCGTACGCATCCGATAAAGGGATCGGCAATACGCTGCAGCTGAACTACGTGGCCGATCTATTGACCCAACAGACTTTAGCCTTACAAAACAACTTCCAGAATACTGACGGAGTCAACGAACAAGCGATAGTAGGCGGGTTCGTCTTCGAGTACAGTGACGAGTGGTGGAAATCTGGCAACCCGGACGAACACAACTTGGGACTCGTTAAGAACGGCCAGTTCCCGTTGGGCTACTTGTCCGAGGAGTTCTTCGGTCTCTTTAGCACCGCGCGTGCGACGTCGGATGAGTTGCCCAATGTGCTACGTGCAAGACCGACAGTGTCGATGCTTACGACCATGTGGGGCAACGGATCCCTGGCAACAGAAGGAGAACTCATTACGGATTGCAAAGGTAAAGGCCTGTCAGTGAGGAGCACTGCCATATCGAATAATGTCGTGCCAGCGACTGAGGGCGCGTCATCGCTCCAAGACTTTCTGGTGTTGGCACTGTTCGGTGGCGTCTTCTTCTTTATGCTCATTGCCACCCGCACGCGTATGCGTCGTACGAAGTACCGTAAGTTGTCGATGTCGAGATCGCGTTACGAAGCGACGGAGACGTCGTCACTGAAGCACATCGACCATCAAGTGGTTTAGATTGTGTGTTTGGATTCTATACCCATTGGATGAAGGAGTATTTGATAATGTATGAATGAAGGTGTTATAGCAATGCATTGTAGGTGTTCTGCGCTCAACAGGATGACGGCACGAGCGTCCCGGTAAAGCGTGACAACAGCTGAAAAGCGTGGGTGTTCGGTGTACGCCAGTCAGCACAGAGCAAGCCATCCGTGTCGCCTCCATTCGGATTAACGCACCAGAAGATGACACCGCTGACGCCAATCTGCTGTGTGTACTCAGCAAAGCGCGTCTGCCACGTCCAGTCCTGTGGGTTCTCATGACGACCTCCCCACTCGCCAATGACAAGCGGCACCTCTGTCTGTTGCTTTAGAAATCCAAAGTGGGTATCCCAGATACGAGGCATATTAGCTGGAAAGTCCTCTGCGTTGAAATACGGTTGCCACGACACTGCAGGTCCGTATGTATGTGGACAGTATACGAGTCGATTGTCCACACATAGCTCCACTGGATGTTGACCAGCAGCTTGTAGATCCTCACCCCAGAAGCAGGGCATCTCATGCCCCGTATCACAGCTCGTTGACTGTACTCCTTCGACAAATATCAGCCAGTGAGAGCACACCGTTAAGACCTTATCCGCCAGTCTCATTGCAGCGAGTCTCCAGTCGGTCTTGATGTCTCCTGAGCCCCACGTAGCCTCTCCGTGGGGTTCATTATTGAGATCAGCCCCCAGCACGTTCCATTGGCTTTTATATCTCGATGCCAGCGTCGTCCACATTTGCTCCACTACAGTCTCTGGACAGCCTTGTCCTTCGTCATACCACAGTGGAGTAATTGCTCCAGCTGGCTGCATCACGTGAGCGTCTAGTAGCACCAGAAGATCATGACGTTCCAGTTCGTGGATCACATAGTCCAGCACGTCCAAATAGTGTAATTCCTTTCCTTCAAACGCCTTGAGTAGTGCTGTCTCATTGCCCATTTTATAGCGATCCACCTCAATGTTGTTTGCCACTGCGGCCACCGCTAGTGGGATGCGAACGAGATTGAAGCCGTTCGAGCGTAATAGTTGCGCTACTGTTGCTAGCGTCGTGGAGTCTGGGCCGCCCCACAGCCCATGCAACACACATATATCGCTCTCCATGCCGAAGAAGCTCGCGCCCTTGAGGAAGAAGAGCTTCCCATCGAGCCGCACGCCCCCGCGTGCGGCCTCAAAACGCAGCATGCGTGGCGTCATCAAAGCAAATCTGATAATGACTACGAACTCTCACTTTAGTGACTTGTCACTCGAATTAATCCTATCATACTGGTTTATCCTATCAAACAGCGGTTTGAAGAAACCTGCATATTGAGACTGGGCTAATTTATAATTTTGAAAAGCTGTTGGCTGAAAAAGGAAGGGAAACTTGGCCTCATTTTTTCGGATACGAGATGAGCGAGACGGACGCTGCTGCGAAGACGACGGAGGAGGTCGCGCCGCCCGTTGAGACGGAAAATAAGACCGAAGATGCAGTAGAGGAGGTCACGCAGTCGCTGGAAGACATCTTGGCGCTTGGTCAGGGTCTGGACGACGAGGACTACAAGGCCGAGCTCGAAGTGCTGCAGAACGACCCCAACTCCAACCTCTACTCGGCCGTCACCTTTGAGGAACTCAACCTGTGCGTACTGCACTGTTGTGATTATCAATACATCACGTTATAATAACGAATTCTACAATAACAGGCCGGACCCGCTGCTCAAGGGCGTGTACAACATGAAATTCGCCAAGCCTTCCAAGATTCAGTCTGTGGCACTGCCACTTATCCTCGCCGAGTAAGTGCAATCTCATTTTATTCTTGCATATAAGTACAAATTACTAATAAAAACTTCTACTTGCAGTCCTCCAGAGAACCTGATCGGCCAGGCTCAGAGTGGCAGTGGCAAGACCGCTACCTTTGCTCTAGGTATGCTCTACCGCGTGGACGTTAACCTCAAGGCTCCCCAAGCTGTCTGTGTGGGGCCCACACGTGAGTTAGTGCGTCAAATTATGGCTGTAGTGAACGCTATGGGCAAGTTCCTCGGCGTGGAGACGTTCCTGGCCATCCCCGGCAACGACCTGGCTCGTGGTGAGACTCTGAAGGCACAGGTGATCGTCGGCACGCCCGGTAAGATCGAGGGAATGATCAAGAAGAAACAACTGGACACTCGTGAAGTCAAGATCTTCGTACTGGACGAGGCTGACGTCATGGTGGCCGAAGACGGCATGCGCGAACGCTCGGTGTCTATCAAGCGATTCATCAAGAACCGTGCCTGTCAATACCTGCTCTTCTCAGCCACATACGCCGACGATGTGCGTGATTTCGCCCAGAAAATGGTGCCCGACCACAACATTATCACCGTCAAGAAGGAGAAACTCACGCTGGACGGCATCAAGCAGTTCTGGATCGACTGCAAGACCCGCGACAACAAGTTCCAAGTCTTGTCGGACATTTTCGCCATCCTGAGTATCGGCAAGTGCGTCATCTTCGTGCAGCAACGTGACACTGCCAAGGAATTGACGCGTCGGATGCGTGAGAAGGGCCACTCGGTCGGCATTTTACACGGTGCCGACATGGCCAAGGAGGTGCGCGACCAGGTCATCGACGAGTTCCGTGCCGGCACGACCAACGTGCTGATCACCACGAACGTTCTGGCGCGTGGTATCGACGTGGCGGGCGTCTCGTTGGTCGTCAACTTTGACATCCCGCTGACTCGTGACCACCGTCCCGACCCGGAGACGTATCTGCACCGTATCGGGCGTACCGGTCGGTTCGGCCGCAAAGGTTGCGCTATTAACTTCGTGTACGACAACAAGAGCAAGCAGGACCTCGCCGAGATCGAAGAGTACTACGCACGTCCGATTACGCAGGCCCCTGCAGACGATATCGAGGAACTCGAGAAGCTACTAGCTTGGGAATAAGCTAAAAGGAACCAAAGTAGACAAGGACACACACTCACAGTGAGGGTAAACAAAGGAACATGTCAGTTTTTCTTTTTCTATCTGCTTTTACACGTTGAAAAAGTTGAGTTTCTTGTCGTCTCCACCCGTGACGAAAGCCACACTCTCTTCCTGGTTTCTCCACGACAGGTCAAGGACTTTGCCTTCGTGTGCACTCACAGTGTGCAGCGGGATGGTGCTGCGTGCATCCCACACCTTGGCCGTGCCGTCGTATCCTCCGGATACGAACAAGTGCTCGTTACTCGGATGCCAAGACACCGAACTGACCCATTCCTTGTGTGAACGGAACGTACGCTGCACGATACTCTCGCCACTCTGCTGTGCACGCGGATCCCATAGACGAACACAGTGGTCCGGGTGCGCCGTGAGGATCAGACCGGTCGCGTTTACGGTTAGGTCCGACACGGCACGGTTACCGGCAAGTGCCTGCGAGCAGGACTGGGTTACGAGGTCCCATAGACGCACGCTGCGGTCGCTACCGGCAGATACAACGACGTCTTCGTCGTGCTCTGAGGTCTTGGGACGGAACGCCACGCCCGTCACGTAGCTCGTGTGACCGACCAGCACGATCTCGGCTTCGAGTTGCCGGAAACTCACGGCACCGGCATCGTCTTCCGTCTTCTTGTGCTTCTTTGAAGAACGCTGTTCACTTGAATCCTCTGAGCCATTTGGGGTCTGCCACACACGCACTGTGTTGTCCCAACTGCCGGTCACTACACGGTTACCGGACGCGTGCAGCTGCACGGCATCGACACTGTTCAAGTGGCCGGTCAATGCTGCCAGTGGCGACAATTTGGACGACTTAACCGTGTATCTCCAGAGCTGTGCGAGCTGATCTTTGCCACTACTGGCAACGACAAACTCTCCACTCTTACTGGACGACACGCTGACTGCTTTAACGGCGCCCTGGTGAGCCTTCACGGAGGCCTTACAGTCTCCCTGGGCGTCGTACACACGCAGTACGCCGTCATAGCAACCGGTGACGACTAGCTCGTCATCCAGAGATGCTACAGCACTCACCCAGTCCGGATGGTCACTACCGTTCTGCTTCTGGGGCTCAGGAAGCGCCTCCACGTACTCGAGAGTCAGTAGAGCTTCCTCGGAGACGTCGTTAGTCTGCAGATACTTGTCCAGCGACGAGCGCAGGAACAGCCCGTCGATGAGAAAGTCAAACGGACGAGGTGAGTCGCCTGTGGCCAACAGGTGGTTAACTACTTGCGAGAGTCCACGGCGGTTGAGACGCGAAGGAACCGCGAACGGCGTCTCCGTCACTCGGATGGACCCGTCCTTGGTCACGAATTTGACACGAACCTGCAGAGCATTGACGCATTTGAGATTAGTGGGAGTTTATATTGACAGGGGTTGCGCCACGAACCTGCGGTCCTTCCTCGTCCATTGCTGCAGCGGTGTGATGCACTAGTTGACACTTTGAATGTCGCTTCAGCTTTTGACTGGAGGCTGGAATTCGAAGAGGAGCTTTGTTATTGGAAGATAAGATACGAAAAGTCGTTTTGATTGGATGGAGGACTATTTAACATTATTCTGCTGAAATCACAAAAAAAAACAAATTTTGTGATGCGAAGTTGTAGTTATTTCTTGTGATTCGCCTGCCATGTCAATTCCATTCACTCATTTTCATGAACAGGCAGCCAGTGACACTTTTGCTTTATCTACGGAGCAAAGTAATATGATGTCTCCAAAGCGCTACGTATTCTCGGACTTGGATGCATTTAATCGGAACCTGCATGGCTATTTACAAAACCACCCGAGCGACTTTATTAACAAAGCATTGACACATGATTTTCCGCTTGATGCACACAAGCTAACGCAGTGTTTTTCTCGTCATTGTGGACAAATTGAATTCTTTCGTTGTTGTCACCACTACTTGCAGTCGAGCGAGGTACAAACTTTCCAAGCTGCAGGTTGGGACGTGCGCTATAAGAACGCGTCCGAACACCACTTTTTGGAAAAATTACTCCAGCGCAACCTATCGGACGACGTTAATGGCGTCCTTGGGGAGGGCAAAAAAGTATTGCTGCTATTGGTAGGAGAGCTGACGCTTTCATTACTGGACTGTTTGGAGATGTACTTCAAGACCGACAATTGGAATGTTGAACTTTATGGCTTTCGCGACGTCAGCGAGATGACCACTGATCGTTTACTGGCGGAGTATCCTTCACGCTTTCGCAGCTTCTACATGTACTTTAGCCGTTCTATCAAATATTTACTTAAGGAACGTGAGAATCAGTGCTTCGTCTTCATGGACCTTGATTGTATTACGGATACGCTGTTTCAGAGCGAAGTGCTCTATAAGAAGATCCCTGGCGCGACCTCAGCACGCGACATTCAAGTCAACTTCAGTGCTTTGACCAAGATTGTGTGTGGAGACTCTTTACAGGTGGTACGCCAGGTTGCAACTTACGCTTCGACAAGTCGATTGCTTGCTCGCAAGCTTGCTGATCTTAATTGGGAGGTAAGGAAGCAATCTCCGATGGTGATGATGCCCGCACTTCTGGAGATGTTGGAGGACTTGGCTTCGTCGACTGCTCCAACAGCTCAAGAACCGAAGACTTTGGTTCTTGTGATGGGAGACAAAGGGCTGAGTGTTATTGACAGACTGATGTGGAGTCGTCTACTTGAAGAATTCGCTGCCAAGCAGTGGCATATTGAAATATTTTCCTGGATGGAGATGCTGAGTGATGATTTCCTTGGTGCCTATATTGACCAACGTCAACGAGGCACTGTGTATGCTCTGGACTATACGCTGCCCGATTTCGCATATCTGAAGCAAGAAGAACCTTTTGGAAATAACACTGCAGATGATGCCGACATTGTCGATGTACCATCGTTACAGCAGCAAATACATCAGGTGCAAGTGGCTTTCGTTGCGATGCAGGCTGATTCAGCCACCGTTCGTACACAGTATCAACAGGATGTTGACGCTAAGCTTCAACAGCTGCAGACATCGTTCGAACTACAACATCGAAAACAGCGGAGCGAGTTTGACGCTGAGTACAAACGTCTTCAAGAGGATTTCAAAATATGGCTACGTGACCAGTGGGACGACTTTCCTGCATCAAGAGACAAGAACGAGAAGAAGATTGAGCGGCGATTGAAGGAGAATGTGGAGTTTATCGTTTCACGTCGCATTGCTATTGTGCGTGGAGAGCTACAAGACGCCGCAGAGCAGCACTACGACAAGTGTCGCGATAACACTTTCAATACCAAGAAAGACGTGGAGGCTCTGTCACTGCGATACCAGAAACTTCGTGATGAACAACGCGAGGAGCTGCAAAAACTCTTTGAACAAAACCACAAGAAGCTGAAACGTGACGTCATCAGCGCAGTCTTTTGGCGAATTTTTATTGCGCTCGTTGTTCTCGGACTATGTCAAGTATATGCAACCAAGATAAAGGCAGACAAGAATGCACACATGATAGCGGAGCAAAACCAGCTTGAACAACCGCGTACTTGGACCTTTGTGGTCAGTACAATTACCGTCATCTCTTTTCTGCTGTGGATGGTGATGCGATGTCTGTTTCATTGAAGGACTCACCTCGAAGGAGCCATTAGTATGGTGACTTTTAATACTACATAGTAGTATTTTTTTTAGCAAAAAGTAAAAAAAAAATTCTGCATTGATGTCTCGGTAGTTATTATACTACAGATAAAGAGAAGCTGCAAAGACGATGTCGCGCTTGAGCTTCTTGCCTCCTTCGTCGAACTTTTTCTCCAGTTCGACGTCACCAATCGAGTGCGCAGCCAGTGTCACCTGACGCAGCAGCTCTTCTAGTCGACGTAGACAGCGAATGATGGTGCCTTCAAACGCGTCCGACATCTTGCAGATCTGCGAGAACTTGGCTCCTTGGCACCAGGCAATGACCACATCCACCAGGTTCGTGTTAAACGCACCCGCATACTCGTCCACGTCGATCGTCATCTTGGCGTCTTGCATCACCTTGGCGATACGCTGCGCCGTCTCACGTAGTTGTCGAACGGGGACCTCCAGACTCTCAGCTTGAGGAGGTTTGTCGCTCTCCTTCTTCTTCTCCGTGTTGATCAAACAGCTCAGCAGCGCCACCGCATCGTTCACCGACAGGTCGTTGAATTGGCCATTGAAGATCATCTCCGTCACCAGCAGCTCGTCCGTCGTCGAGACTTCACACGCCGTACGTCCCTTCCGTTGGATAACTCCTTCTTTATCCACAAACTCCAGTCTCCTCAACACTCGTCGACGACGACGCAAGTCATCACGCAGCACCAGCGACTTGGACTCCTTGATCTTGCGCTCCAATTCGCGCATCTTGGCTTCACTTTCCATCTTCAAATTGTACAATGCAAAGCGCGCTTCCTTGTCCGCTGCATTGTGGAACGGCGAGCTCTTGAGTTGCTTCTCTGCGTCCACAGTCTTCTCAATCACACGCAAGAATTGTTCGTCCTGAATGTCCAAATCTTCACGAGGATCCAGAAGCGGGACACCCTGAGGGAATCGACGTAGCACTTCCTTGACCGGAC